TTCATCGTCGTCAAACATGTTTTAAAAGCAAAGAAACATGTTTCATAAGCGGTTGGAATGACGCTGAACGATCATTTTTGTTTACGATTTGTTTTCTCAACCTCAAATCTGTCAAAAAATGGAATGACATTTGGTTGGCACAAAGGTTATGTGAATTGTTTACTTAAGTATTTTTTAAAAAAAATTGAGTTGAATTGATTATTTGTACAGTGAATTAGAGTTTATATAAGTACCCTTCTGAAAGTGGTTTTGACAATTTTACGGCGAAAAAACCTACAACTTGTATTATTTTGGGTTGTAAAGTCATGATGTTTTTATTGCCTCTATGGATCTTGAATTCTACATACTTAGACTAATCAAAGAAATTGTAATAGTCATTTTATTACAGGTAAAATACATTTTTTTGACACACAAATAAAAACATACTGTAACTAGATCATACTTTGAAGAGCAGAATGAGAATGCTATTTATTGTGTATTGTGTTTAATCAACTGTCTGGTCTACACCAATAAATTAAAGTAAAGGAACTCATGATACTAATAACATACATCTCAAAAAGTGATCTTTTTACATATATCAAGGATACATAAAAGTGTATAATAATAGAGACATCAAGTATGACTTTCTTATTTTTAGGGAAACAGAGTTCCTTCGAAGTTAGTAATCATTTAAACTGGACTCCAGCCCAGAACTTGAGGCATGTGTCTCAAACCAGTTCAAAACTAACTGAATCGAAAAAGGAGGAAGAGATAAAAATGAAAATCAACCTGAAGTAAAGTTTTATTTTTGAGTCATACCTAACATCATAAGTCCCGCTTTAGGCAAGACAAACCCACTTTCAAGTTATGTGTACCATTGTCCCCAAAGAATGCAAAAATGTCCCGCTTTAAAAGAAAACGTGATCTGATTCAAAACATTTTTCAAAAAAGAGTGGTATCTCGTATAAATATGTGCTAGTGAAAAAACTTACTTAATTTGAAGTATCAGTATTGAAAGCCAAGCATAACATAAACAAGTCACGTCAACAGTTCCACTCCCATTTAAAAACTAAAATATAGAAAGTCAGCCCACTAAACAAGTTTTATTTCGCTTTTCTAATTTTTAATAAATAAACATAAAATTCTGTTATTTCACTTATTTTTAATACATTTTTTTATTATATTATTGTTTTACTTTTACTACAATCTTACTGTTGTTATTCTACATTAAAAATAATGAAAAATTGCTGTTATGCCCTTTAAAATTTACAGGCTTCTTGCTGTGAGGTAAGAAATGATAACGTTTTATTACAAAAACCGAAAAATTGTTAAAATAATCCCTATCTAATGCTTTACTTATTTTTTTACAAAGTATTTTTTATGTAGGTATTTAGGTGTTATACATTTTTGGTCATCGCTAATATTCATTGAGTCTGAATTATTTTTATGTAGTAATAAAATTTGTCTATTATTATAGAGTTATACATACCTCGTCGAAAAACTACATACAGTAATTCTTTTATAGGAATGATATATTTTGTATTGGACATTAATAAATATAGAAATTTAATGTTGTCATATAGGTAGAGCGACTTATTAGCAAAAATTATTTGAAATGTATACAGTAATGAGGTATTTTTTTTATAGGTTCAACAAACCAAGATGGGCCCCTTTTTAATATAATTGCTTATATTTAATTTATTTTGTAAATAAAATGTCATACTTTTATTATTATTTATTTTTTAATATATAATATACATTACATGACAACAAAAAACATTGGTGCAGTTTTAATAACAAAACTCGTCTGTTTTGAATAACTCTGTGCTAAAACTATATAATATGTAGGTATGTTATATTATCCATATTCCTTACTGGTGGAATCCCATTAACGTCCAAATGAAATAATTTAAGCATACGTGTATGTATCTACGTCTGGAATTAATTTTATTTTTTTCAAACAGGTACCTCCATAAATACAATATTATATTAAAATACAACTTAACTAATCAACTCTATTAGGGTATAAAACCTTAAAAATATAAATAAATAAACAAACACATAACCTAACAAAATGCCAAAAGACGGATTTGACAGGGGTTCAAGGTCAATTTTATGCTTTTAAAGCAAACAAGCGAGTTTATTTTCGCTTTTATGCTTCTTCAAAAGCGCTGCAGCGGTTGACAGTTCATCGTCACCGCTTACTCAGCGTTACAACATGTTTGACGACGATGAACACGGCCATTAACAGAGTGTGTCTGACAACATAAAAATGTGTTCCAACACATCCAAGTTCCGAATCGCGTCCCAATCACATACTTTGATTTTCTTTACTATACGGCGCAAGAGAGAGGTCCGACACGCCCAACATAGGGCCCGGCCATTTTGAACCCTATGCAACAGTTTATACACTGCGAAACTCGGATAATACAATATATAACAACCGCCTATAATAAAACAGCTGTCTTCTGCGTATCCTAAATTTGTATCCTGGAGTGGATCTTAATTTTGAAACTTTCAACTGGTCCGAGTGAGCTAACTGATTCTTTAGCAATAATCTGTGACTCAAAAAATAATATTCACTGACACTGACAGCCGCAAGCAAAATATCAGGTGCGTTTTAATCATCCGCTTCTGCTTCCGGAATTGTCGGTTTAGTCGTTTTAACTTGTCAAATTAAAACAAGAAAACCGACAATTCCGAAGCAGAAGCGGATGATTAAAACGCACCTATTAAAAATATTGCGCCAAGATGTAGGCCACACGTAATAAGGGTTCAAAATGGCGGAGTTTTTTATCTCCTTTTAAAGGCACTCAGAAAGCTGCGCAGTGCGACCCATTCTCCGTATAGTAAAAGAAAATCAAAGTATGTGGTCCCAATCCTCGACAGGTCGTGGACAGGTCGTCGACTATCAGTCGTCGACAATTCCGACAATAAGTTGTGGACTGGTTTATGTATAGTCCCAAAATTGTTGTTGGAACAAACCTTATAACTATCTACTCTGTCAAATCACCACGCCCACAGTGTTGCCATATCATAACCTGTCATGTGACTCATTATCTACGACCATAGATATGGACGGGCAACCATTTTATTCAGGGATTTGCAGAAGGATTTATCGTGAAAATCGCGTAAACATGCCTAAGTATTTTTTACCAAATCACAAATAAAAAATATTTCCCTGTTGTCAATATCAACAGAAGATTTCAAGGTTATGTGGAAAACTGCGTACGTGTTATTTGTTTATTTAAAAAAAGCATATTCAAGTAAAATTTAAATAACACATCGAACATTGAACCAAATAGCAACATTAAGTCAACCATCTGGTACTGATTTTTGTGATTTTACAATTAATATGTCGAGTCCACAACAAGATTCTGTCCTTAAAGCAGGTCACCCCCCAGCAGGTAAAGTAATTTTGATATATTTTTAGCAAAAATTCGTATTTTCTCGTATACAATTCAAATCCTGAACATTTTATTTTTCAAATATAGGTATATTTATTTTATTCACACCATATGCCCTAATTACTATTAATTTATTAATACTGAAAAATATTGTAATAAGTACGTGCTTATGTAACGTATTATTTTGCCGGTTAGGTACACCCATAAGGAACAACACGTTTTTTTGGTTTATTTATATTTCTAATACAGCCTTTTTTCATACATACATTTTGTGTTTTTTTTTACAACACGTGTCATAATTTCGATATTTTTATAATTTTATCTCCATGGCGGTCACATTTATGAACTGTCATCAATCGACCTAGACAACTTTTGTTAATAGATTTGAAATTTTATATCACCATTCTACCATTCAGAAATATAGGATAGATCAAAACGAATTCTCCCGATCTACAGGTTTTAAAAACAGGTCTTGTACACCTTGAAACATATATTCTGTTTCTTTGCTTGATAATTCAAATGATTTAATTTCTGCTCTAAATTGACTAATCAGCACAATCACTCAATAATAAAACTGTCTTACACTTAAAATTATCACAGTACACCTAGTTATTGCACATCAAAATTTCATTGTCACACTTAAAACTATCACAGTCGCTATCAAACAAAAATTTCACCATCATTATTGGAATATGTGAAGAATCTATCATCGGGCCAAATTTCACTAAGATTTTTGGAGGTTACTGGACAGGAAGAAAATTTTGGTGGGTATATAATATATATATTGCCTAAGGCAACTTTGTCAACATTCTTCACATATTTGATAACTGCCTATGTTTTCCAAATTCAACTATATACCCATATCAGTTGTCTTCTTTACATGAAGATCAATCATTGATATAGACGATATTAAAAGTGTCCATATCTTTGTGCATTGCACTTTTACATGTAAAGTATCAAACTCAATCTAGGGAAGCTAGTCAGCTTTGATCCCATTTTTTTTAAAAATAGCTTCATTTAAATTATATGGAACCATTTTCATTTTGTCAATCTTCAAATACAAAATAATTTACTTCAAATAAATGAAAGTAGGACACTAAGTCGCCATTTTGATTACTCTTTTCCATCAGCCTTGGCATCGCTAAGTGCATCTATCTATCATATCGCAAAATAGTGTTTATGTTGTCTCTACTTCATTCTATCTCAATGAGACCAACACATGTTATTAAAATATTTTCTTTTAAAATTATTAATGTCATGACAAGAAATATAAAATATAGGTGCAATAGAAAAAGTCAGCAGATCGGATATTGCATTTTTGTTTCAGGAATCAAAAGTCATGGTAGACAGTCATCTTAAGAATTATAAATTAAAAGTGTGTAAAAATGTCCCTTTTTAAGACTTCTTCCATAAAGAAATATAATTAATAAATTACATTCATAAATATAAATTTAAAATGTGTGATATTGACTTAGAGATTTATTATTGCTGAATAATCTGACCATATCAGCAAATATGGATAATCTTTCATTTTCATAAATATTATTTGTATTCTGTAGTTATTGTTATTATTAACATAATTTCTTAAAGTATTTTTATGTGATAATGACATTTGCTAAAACATTATTTGGCAAGACTTGCAATTTGGAGCTTATCAAGCAAAATGTCTACATATATCTATTCAAACTATTGATTAACATATCTAATTAGGCAATCCTTGAAATGTACAATTATTCACATTGAACTTGTATGATTAACAATAAAATTATTAATAATAAGAATAAAATTAATTCAGAAATATGTCTATATATAAACCAGTAAATATAACTATTTTATAAGATTTTTTTTTAAATTACTATTTTTTTTTTCTTAACCAATTGAAATATACAAATTATTCTATTAAGGGGACATAGAACAACTGAATATTGTCAGATTCAAGATGAAATGATTAAAGGAAACATACTTAGGCAAAATGTTACTCGTTTCCGAAATATTGGGTGGTAAAAATTTAAAAATAATTACTAAATTGAGCAAACATTTTTGATGTCATAAGATACACCTAACAGTAAAAGAGCAGTTAATTAAAATTTGCCAGGGGCCTATAGCTTGGTTAAATAAAAACTTTATCCCTTCAAATGGTTACGCCAATTTCCAAATACTAATGTTTACTATTATTTTAATTTTTTTAATGTTTTTTAAGTAAACTATGTATTTTTGTTGAGAACTTATATTGTCTTTCGAGATATTCGCATTCAAAAGAGGATACTCTATTTTTTTCTTTATTTTATTAGTACTTAATTAACAAATTGAACTTTAACAAACACAGTATAACCATAAAAAAAAAAGATTTACGCGAACCAAACATTTTAGAGGATTTATGTACATACAAGAATCATGACAGATATTAAAAATGCCACCAAGATATATACATCTATATGCAGACCACTAATCGACTATGCTTGTGTCTTATTCCAAACATATAGAAGAAACAACACCTTGAGATAGCATAAAAAAGTGACCTAAGAACTATTACTAAACTGAGACATCTTGATAATTAGCTTTGTATGTCTAGGGTATGCTGATGACTGGCGTTCGTCATGTAAGAAGCAAGTTCTCAGGTACAATATCGGAGTGCACACAAACTGCTGTAAACATTGTTGACTAGTGGTGCAGAGAGGAACAACTAACAGTAAACTTTACAAAACGAAAGTTATTGACAGGACTAAAGTCAACAGTACTGAAAGGAGTGGAAATTCCGTGATCAAGAAGCCAAATACTTCCGTTTTGCTGTTAGGTGCATTTTATTATGACACCAAAAACGTTTACTATATTTAGTAAAAATATAATATAATAAAAAAAAATATAGTCATTTGTAATAATAACAATGCTTCGGAATTTTCGTTCTTATTTATTTTAACAAGAAAACATTGATTCATCTTTTTAATTAAGCATTTAGAAAAAAAAAATTGGAATCGTAAAACCATTTTTGATGAAATTCACTCTATAGAATAACTACACATTGTTAAAATGGTGCCAAATATTGTACTGTGAAGGCGAATATTTTTTAATAATTGCTGTTTTCTTCTCGTAATGCGTAGATAGCTGAATATGCTTTCACAAATCCAGGATTCATGTTCATTACTTACAAAAGACTAAAAATAGCAATACACTCACTGGCAGAATTAACCGCCCACCCAATTATTTTTATTTATTTCTGAAATTTTCTTGACTTTTCGACATTAATTGATATGATGTGACATTTTGACAGTAAATAAATGTTTAACTGTCAGTGCTGTCATTCTTTCGCTTTTTATTAGTAATTTGGTTCCAATTTGGCTTGTTTAATTAGACTTAATTAGACTTGTTTAGTGTTGGTGTTTATTTTGTAAAATCAGTTTAAGTTCAGTTCAAAACACTTTTATTCAAAACAATGCCATTAAGAGCAGAATCAGTAGCTGTAGTTCTATCTGATGAAGGTTATAGTCAACGTCGTATTGCTGGAATACTTGGTGCTGCTCGTGAAACAGTCAGATATGCCATAAGGCGTTATCGAGAGACAGATTTTACACCAGAAGGCCTGGTCGCTGCACTTCAATGAGTGACGATCGTTTTGTTTTGAGCACGATTTTAAGAGATCGGTTTTGTAACTCTGTTGAAGCCCGTACTCGTCTTGCTGAGGTTAGAAATGTGGAGGTCAGCGAGAAGGAGGTTGGCAGAAAGGAAACTTACAGCGAGACGCCCTTACCGAGCCCCTCAGCTTCGCCCGCATCACAAAACAGCTAGACACCGTATGCGCGTGAATACAGTATGTGTAATATGGATCAGTGGAAGAATGTTTTATTCTCTGACGAGAGCAGAATTGCTTTAAAATGTCCAGATGGCCGCCAGCTTGTATACAGATGCCCGACAGAGCGGTTTGCTCCTTGTGCTCTTATGGAAACTGTGGGTTATTGAGGAGGCTCAATAATGATATGGGGCGGAATTTCTTACGAGGCTCGTACGGAGCTGGTAATTTTTGCTAGAGGCGGTGTAGATGCTCACAGGTATGTTCAAGAAGTTCTTCAAGAACATGTCATTCCTTTTGCGCCATATATTGGCGACAATTTGTTCTTCAGCAAGACAACGCAAGATGTCATGTCGCTCGAGTGGTTATGCAATACCTTAACGAAATTGGCATCAGAACTTTGTCATGGTCAGCACAGAGTCCAGACCTCAATCCAATTGCACATTTGGGACAACCTAAAAAAACGGATTTGAGCATGAAGACCAGCTCCAACCACTATTCGAGAGTTGAAAACTGCTGCGGTGGAAGAATGGGAAAACATCCCACAAGCTGAGATTCAAGCCATCATGGATGCCATTCCACGCAGGATTAGTGATGTGATCAGGGCAAGAGGGGGTAACACTAGTTACTAAAGTGAATTTTGTTAATAACAATACTTTTTTGTCGATAAATTTCATGTATTGCTCATCTTATTCAAAAAGTTCAAAATTTTCAAAAACTGTTTTTCTTTTATTTTCTACAATTAAACAAAAACTTTCATTTGATTGGTATTTGTTTGCTTTTCAAAATGTACTTAGACATTAAAAAATAAAAAAAAAACAAAATTACAAATATCTAATTATAGACACATTTAAAACATGTTTTTTTTATTTGCCTTGTAATTTATAAAAACTACAGCCTAGCCAAGTAAAAAATAATGACTTGGAATTTTTATTATAGGTAGCTTACACAGATTCTGTGAAGAGTATTATAGATTTACTTTGCCGTCCCTCTGATTTCACATTTTTTGTCTGATGAATTTTAGGAAAATCAAGCTCTATAAGGGGACGAAGCCTATCTTTTTAAAAATGGGGAGTCAAGATGGTTAAAGAAAAAAACAAAATCAAAAACGTAAAGCGATATCAACATTGAATTTTTAGTAAAAATCAAGGTCTATCAATTCTGAAAAAAATTTAAATAAAAATGGGTGGTTAAGGGGGTTGAGATATTTAAAAAAAATCGTAATTCCAAAAAAGAACAATAACTTGAAATTTTTAAAAACATTGAATAAAATGGGGGCAAAGGGGAGTTGAAATAAAAAAAAAGAAATCAAAACCAAAAGCGATATCAACATGAAATGTTTAGTAAAAATCAAGCTCTATGAGGGAATGAATAAATAAATAAAAATAGGGAGATAAGGGGAGTTGAAATATGTAAAAAAATCCCAACTCTGAAACAAAAAATGATATTAAATTGAAATCTTAAGGAAAAATCAAGCTTTTTAAAGCTTCATATTAATTTTGAAAAAAATTATTGAGAATGAGGGTTAAGGGGGTCTGGTAAACTGTGAATACTATAATATAGAATGATAAGCATTATATCTTCATTCTAGTTATTTTTTTAAAATACATATCGACAACTACAAACATTTTATTTTGTTGCATTGTCCAGAATTGTTAAAATGAAGAACATACACCTAATTATTTTTCTTTTTCGCTCTTCAAACAATACACAGAGATGGGATTAATAGGAAAATAAAAGTAGACATTACTTGGCAATAAAATTTTAATTCTCTAGATTTATTGGTACACGTCACGGGACATAGTGAACATAAATTTTTTAACTTTAATTATTTCTTCGGGCTCCAGTGATACCTGAACGGCAAAATTTTGCCAAAGTACTTTAAAAATGGTAAAGTTTAAAATTCAGTAATAAAAAAATTTGTTATAATCCATTTTTATTATCAACTGTAGCCAATATTTCAGAAACGAGTAACAAGTATGTTTCATTTAATTATCCCATTTTTGATTCAGGTTATCTTTAGTTATTCTATGTCCTATTCTTAGTGTAAATTCAGTTAGAATATTGTGAAACTAAGTTAATTAAAATTTTAAATAACTTTCTTTTCAGTAAAAGCTGGTGGGATGAGAATAACCCAACACAAAACAAGAAAAGACTCTGGAGGTATATCAGAAGATGTCACTGGTATCACAGTATCGGGTAGTCCACCAAAAACTACAACTGTTTCTGGAGCAACAGTAAAAGGCCATGCTGACTTTCCTGCAGAAGCTTTACAAAGTTTCCACAAGGACAAACCTCCAGCAAATCATGCTAACAAGCCTTTAGTGCACATCCAACAACCCAGGAAATAGAATGTTGCCAAATCAAGATTCCTAACAAGCCAACTTAAGTAAGATTGATGATGCATTTTCTATTTTTTTACAATAATTTTTGACCACACACTTAACTTAGTTAAATTTTTACATTTAAGATTAATTTTTAAATACAATGAAATTTGGCTATTATATGTTTAACTCATAAAATAAAATTTTATCTAAGTTACGTGTGGAATGTGAGGTCCTCAAAATCAAAGTAGTTTTAAGATTTTTTTTATTTACAATTTTTGTCTCGACTACACTGGCCATTGATACAGGTACAATCATAATATCAGCCTTGAGCTTTAACTATATTCTATATTTAAAAATCACATTATAATTATTATTATTTATTTTTAATTTTTTAATAATAAACAATTTTTTTTTCTTAATTATTTTGTCACTATAACTTCAATAAAAATATTTAAATAGAAAAACATTTATATTACACAAATTTTCTTAGTTTATTTGATATCAGGTAATGATAAGTTCCTAGAAAATTAAGTTGCAGGGTTTGAGGTTAGAAGTCATACAAAAATACCATTTTTTATATACGTGAAAAATAAAATATAGAGACTTTAATAATTAAAGCTGAAGGAGTAAAAAGCCATTTTATATTGTATTCAACACTGGTTTGATATACTCAGAATGAGATTTTAAATGATTGTATATTGTTTACTGAGTTAAGTTGATTTTAAGACCATGATCCCTTAAGATTTTATGATTTATTTCTTAAAATAATGTACAAATGATTGTTTTAAATATATAAAAGAAAATAAACTTGTCATATATTAGTAAAAGATATGTTAATCTAATAATCTGTAAAACTGATGCACCAATTTAACTTAAGAAGTTTACATTTTCGTTTGTTATGATTCTATGAAAATGTTAATAAGTTTGTTATTTTATTATTGCTTCTGTTTTACTAAAATATAGCTGCTTTTGTTTTCTTACTGAAATTATAGTTTATTTGGTTTGGGTTAAAAAAAAAATAAATGCGTGTATTTAAAAAATATATTTAGAGTCACAATAAAAGATTTTTATTACATTCATATATTTGTTTTATTTTAATGTTTTGTTCCAACCAACACATTTTTTCTCCTGCAGTTCCTTTCTAGTTAATGGAGACAGATGCGCTGCAGCCACATAATCTCTATTAAGATAAACAAAAATAATATTAACTGGCCCATTTATATACCTTAGAAGTAAAAAATCTTATCTTTTATATTAAGTGGAGTGCATTCACAGAAAAACCTAAAGTTTATATTTTTTAGTAGTAGAAAATTAAATCTCTATCATTAGGTACTAGTTTTTGATACAATACATTTACAAAAAAATAGTATTTTCACTTTTCAAAGAGGCAAAAAGTTGCATTTTCAACCTTGGGCCTCATTTCCTGTAAATCTTTAAGATTGGACGATTCTTTACATCTAAGGTACATATTTATAACCTTTCAAACATCAATTTGGAATGTTTTTAAAACTTCAAAACTAGTTGCAATAAACGAGAACACTGAGATTTAAAAGTCCTTTCATGTTTTCTTAATTTCATAAATTCCTGTACTTACATGCTGGGTTGCCACTTTTTAATTGAAATGTATTGCCTTATCATAAACCATTAGTGATACAGAGTCGGTTAAATGAGGAAAATTTGTTTATTTCGCAGCCCAATTTGAGGACGTTTTGAAAACTGAAATATTGTGGCCAGTTTCCAAGATATTCTATAAAAAACAAATTAATTCTGTTTTTTTTTTATTCCACTACAGTAGTTTTATTTTCAAAAATGAACAAAAACTCATTCTAGGTTTTATTGCTTTATATCAAGTTGCACATTTGTTAGTGCATTTAATTTTTTTTTATCCGACATTTCGTAAATGCAGAACCACCACCAACTTCTTTATTTGGTTACATGTATGAACTACCTACTGTGACGAAGTCACTAAATTTTATTTTTAATTAATAATAAAAATGTATATTTTAATTAATTTCCGCCTGAGAACGTTCCTAGAACTTCCCGTTTTTAAACATTTACGAGAGCCATCGTAGTTTAAAATATATCCGTATTTACCGACATTTGGATTTGAACATTATATGTCATGAAAATGTATAGGTATATTCAGCAGGTGTCAAAAGGGCGTTTTTTATTTCTCCGCTAGTAAACAGTAGATCTGGAGGTGATTTATCCCACTCGGAAATTTCTCGTAAACTGAACTCGTCTTCTCGTGAGACATAAAATACGGGAGCCGAAGGAATATTCTTCTCTTGGCTCCTGTCTACCGTAGACTCTTTTGCTGCCCCCACTGAACTAGATCGAAGTGACCGAGTGAAAAGTTGTGCTGAAACTGAACTGTATTTTTGCATCCGTAACAGTACTTAATTCCGAGGTAGGTTTTTTATTCCCAATTAAATTTTTTCCTTTTTTTTCTCTCCGCTGGTTTGTAATTCAACTAGTACTTATTACCAACAAGGTTATTAATTATCGTGAAGTAATCTTCACACTGCGGCCTCTTGGGTCTTTTTTTTCCCCTGCTTTCCCCGTTTTCAGGTACTATCTTTGGAATGGTCCTGTGTCTTTGGTTAGTTTTAATAGGTTCCCTACCAAGTGTTCCTGGGGCGTTCTTTCCGGTTCTAAGCCGAAAAGGATGAAACGTCGCCCAGTAAGAGCTTCGCATTTGAAGATCACATGGTATGAGGTTTCTTCCTCTTCCATGCAAAGTCTACACGTAGTGGGATCATTGTGTAATCCCACTACATGAAGGTGTTTCAGCAAGCAGTGCCCCGTTAGTAATCCCACAATGGTGGATATCTGAGGCCTTGCGAGTTGTAGTGCTTCAGTAGCCATGCGTGGGTTTGGTCCCCTTAGCATGAGCTTACTGATTATGTGCCCTCTTATCTGTTGCCAGTGAATTTGGTGTTTTGTGGTTATCCACCTGTCCACTGCCTGTCGAGCAGAGGTTTTGCTTATCCCAAATACAGGTTCGGGTCCTGTGAATGGTAGATCTGATCCCTCTTTGGCGAGTTCATCAGATTTTTCATTTCATTGGATACCTTTGTGCCCTGGTACCCACGCTAGTTTTACCTTGTTTACGAGAGGAGTACCCACGTAGAGTTCGATGAGAAATAATCGTTAAGCCGTAATTTATCTAGTACATATTGCCAACAAGTTTATTAAAAGTTGAAATAATCTTTTTCGAATTTTTAAAATCGAACTAACTGAGGTAGAATTCGACAAAGGAACTTCGTCAAGCCGTAATTCAACTGGAGCTTATCAAAAGATTTATATTTATCGCGGACAAACCATTCGTCGAGAGTTCCAGTCGTCCGAAATCTAGAGGCACTGATTTGCGATTCGATGTTAAACCGATAAATTCAATTTTTCAATTAATTGATCAAAAACGTGCCCGTTCTCTATTTTACAGGGAGTGCTGTGGATGCCGCTTTGTTTACTCCGGATATATCATTTCCCTCTTTAAATGTCGTATTTGAATAATTATTTGATAGAAATTTCATTTTCTACTATACCTTGAGTGTTGTAATAACCGTCTGATTTATTTCTTGTGATTTAATAAAATAATTATTAATTGGAAAATCATTTTCTACTATACAGGCAGTGTGCTGTAATAACCGTTTATTTCTTCTGATTTAATAAAATAGTTGAAAACACATGCCACAATATTTAAAAAAAAATGATTTTTTAGGCCTAATATACTTAAAATATACTATATTTTTTGTTTGTGATAGTTCTGATTTTCAATTATGATAAATAATGGCTACTCAACAGTTAGGAAGGTATCACGAGCCATATAATGCAATTAATTGTAAAACTATAAACTAGTTTTTCTCGAAATAATCTGTGTGTGACATGACACCTTTATCCACTTGTGTCTTCAGTTCTCGAGGGAAAATTTATTTTCTATTATACCGTAATTACTGTTTGATTTATTACTTTTTAAAATTATTATTGGGTTTAAAACCATTAGTTAATTGTAAATTAATTTTCTATCATACAAGGAGTGTTGTAATAACCGTTTGATTTAATAAAATAATTCTTAAGGGAAAATTTATTTTCTATTATACAGGGAGTGTCGTAATTACCGTATGATTTGTTACTTTCGATTTTAAAATTATTGTATTGTAACCACCGTTTATGTTTCATAATTATTATTTAACTTTTGTGCACAGGCAAATCATATGATAGGAAAGTCATTTTCTATTATACATGGAGTACCGTAATTGCCGTTTTAATTATTTTGTACACATATTTGAACAATTTATTTGATAGGAAAGTTATTTTCTATTATAGAGGGAGTGGGGTAATGCCGTCTTAATTATTTCGAACATTATACACTTTTTATTGTTTAACTATTGTATTTAAACAATTTATTTGATAGGACAGGATTTTCTAATATACTGGGAGCGCTGTTATTGCCATTTTAGTTTTATTTTCTTTTTATTTTTTAACTTTAGTTTTTGAACAATTTATTTGACTTAATAAAACAATTCTCAAGTGTAAATTAATTTTATTTTTTTCATTTTATTTTTTTCTAAATATATTTTGTTAATAATTCCTGTGTTTCTTTTCTTTTATTGCTCTCAACCGTTCTATTTCAGGGTACCGTAAGGTACAAGGTGTGAGGTAGAATAGTTTCTTTTATTATAATTTAGTGGCTACCCCATTAGCGGTGACCGCCTGGAGGTATTTTTAACTCCACTGAGTCTACCTTGAGTACACTCTGGTGTACTACAGGTTAGCAAAACTGGCGTCTGAGCAACTCTTGTTCTACTTTCACCACTTTAGAGCCAAACACGACTTCCTACTTCACACCGTGTGAAGCCTGTCACACTACATTCACCGTAAATACACTATTCGCGATTAAAATGAATTTTCGTGCACCGTTCTTTGTCAGCAGTAAGTAGAATGTTTATTTACATTGTGTTTGTTTTGAGCGGGGTTTTGTATTTGTGATTTCTTAACTATTTTTAGGGTTTTTGAGTTTCATTTATAGTGGGTTGCATTAAAGAAGTTTAAATTTTAAATCTAGGATATTACATTTTAACCATGGATATTTGTTATCTCTAGACTTTGTATTTGTTATCATGACATTTGTATTCATAAGTTTGACTTCTAGGCAGAAATAGTATGATCATTTATTATCATTCCTAGTTAAATTGATAATATTTAGTAAACTTGGCTTGTCTAATTCAGTAAAGTTCTTGTGCTTTTCACGTTTCTTACATTCATTTTGTACTTTTTAAAGTTAAACGTCATTCCAATATTTAAATTATAATTGTTAATGACCACAAAATAAATGACAATTATGGAGCAAAGAATTATTAAAATGTGACTTATTTACTAAAATCGTAGGATTTTCTAATCTGGAGATAACAAATATCTATAGATAAAATGTATTTTACTGGATATACAATTTAATCTTATTTTAAGCAACCCACTATTAGTGTTAATTTGTTTCGTTTCCGTTCTTTCGTCATAAATATAATATTTTTCATGTGTTTATGACTAATTTGTTGAAAATCTTCACCTATCCCGATTCTACACAAACATCTAGAAATATTTGTTTACTAAACGCAGGATATGTTTTATTATGTCGTTTAAAGGAAATTTCAGGTACCTAACGTTTATTATTGGTAAACTTAATTAAAAATCTTACTATTCTTATATTATGAAGTGAATGGTGTAGTACTTTGTATACATGTAGACTGTAATGCAACTGTCACAATGCAGAATGCAGTTTGATTCTAGACAAAAAATAATATAAATAAATATACCAATACCCAGACAGCACACCAAATCGATATCTACTGGACATCCCAATATCCACTGAATGTCCAGTCCATGGTGGATATCTATTTTATATCCATGAGATGTAATTTATAGAAATGCAAATGTCCATAAATAATAGTAATTATATAGCAAATTATTAAAAAATTACGCCATTGTGGCTAATAGAGTACCGTTCAGATATTTAAAATTATTTTTTTAAGGTGTATTCAATATCCCATGGACATCCACTAAATATATCAAAGTCTAGGCGCGAACGCAAGCCATGGTGGATATATCCACTAGATGTAATTTTTGATTTTGCTTACTAAGTATAGATGGCGATACCACTTTCGCTCGTTGAATATCTACTCAT